GTTTGGTGTGAACAATTCACCTCTCAAACAGTATGTTCTGAAAACTAAAGGCAGTTAGAAAGGCAATTGCTTTCTAAACTGTCCACCAGATTTTGGATATAATAAACTGTATATGAGAAATTAAATTGCTGAACAAGTCTATTAATACTACAAAAATGCCCAAGGCTATTTTAATAAAGAGAAGCGTGGGAGAATCTATTTTACTTGGTAACAGTGAAAACTTCCAAGCAGCTGAATTACTGAGTGAGCAGAGAGCAGAAGGCACAGCTGAGACAACACAAAATCCAAGCATCCAGGACTGTTTTGAATTCATGTGACTCAATGCTGGTAGCAAGAAATAAAGAGAGGACAAAGACACATAATTCTCTCAGTTACAGGAGATTACTAGGTTATATCAGTCAAACAGGAATTATTGCTGGTTGTGTTGGAAACTTATCGTTGGCAATGTATTAAATAAATCTTGGCAAATAAAACCGTTGAGCTCTCAAATGGGACAAGTCTTTAATTTCTGACAAAACTAATCCGTTCTACTTCCTTTTGTTTTTTTTCATGTCTAAAAAAGGATGGAAATGTCATCACCTCACAGGCCGTTGCCCCTATCAGAAATTCTGTGTATATTCTATTTTTCAGTGAAAACACCCACAAGCTTCAGTTACAGAAAGCATAACACCAGCCTACTGAAGAGATGCAAAAGTATACAACACTCCTCGTCAGGGAATTACCGGTCCTCAATGACTAACCCACTGTCTCAGAGTTCACTTGTGAGGACTGTCAGGAGAAGTGTATGTAAGAGTAAATAATTCTAAAAACAGCCTGTTAATGGTGCAAAAACTCATGAAACATCTTCGTCTTCAGACACTCCTTCAAGCATACATAATCCTAGTATTCTAAACTTAATTTCCTCCATATTCTGACAAACACCCAAACACTCCCTTTCAGCCAAGGGATGAGTTCCAGACAGACACACTAGGAAAGTTACACAAAAAGTGATAATTCCAAATTGACAAACAGAAGGGTCTCGTTCATCTCCCTTCTCAAATCTTGCATTTCAACCCTGGAAAAAAACCTCAGAAAACGTCCAGTGCTTGCACAGGCTGCAAAAATCAAAGAAGGGATTCTTCACCAGAATTACACAGAATAGACCAGAAGACAGCTGAATTTTCTCCCTGCATTTTAGAAGAGAGTTGGTGTCAAAAGTCAGGGGAAATTTTTTTATTTATATATAAAAAATAAATTTAAGAAACAACAAATTTTATCTATTGTAGCAAAATTTTGTCCATTTTGTTATATAAACTAGATATTTTAATATACAGAAATTTAATTAAAGCCATCTCTTTTCCTGAGTTGTGGCTGCATATCTTATTCAAGCTTTGTTCAACCTACGGTACACCTAGATCTGAACCTTGGTCCTCTTGGTTGACTCTTCTACAAACATTGCCAAATCACTAATATCCTATTGCAAGTCATCTTAACTACCAACAGATAGTAATTTTCCCTGTAATGACTCTTCATTTAAGACTATATGTTGCAATTTTCTACCATTTCAGTGATTTAAGTATATCATCTACTGAATGTGCTGGTCTTGGCAGCAAAGACGACTTTTCTTGCCAGATGGAATATGAAAATAATATGAAACAAGACATTTTTTTAAATTGAAAAAAAGAAAGTTCAGTCATATTTGTAAATACTATACTGCAACTGGAATGTGAAAAAAATCATTCTTGCAAAACATAAATAGCTGTCAGCTATTCCTCAGAAATAAATATCCTTCTAAACCTAAAAGTAACCAGTATATCATGTTCTCTGTAAAAAATCGGTCACAGTTCAGTTATGCCCCTAACTAATGCCTGTAGCAGTGAATAGGACGGGCTATGAGGACACCATAACTACCATATAGATGTCTATGTTCATCATCAGCCATTTCTCTCTCCCTCCCCTCTTTCCGTGGCAGCATAATCCAGGTGCATACAAAAGTGCCTTCTACTCCTTCTTCAAATTTACCTTCACAATGTGAAATCTAACCAGATCTGACATGTATACTGACTATGGATTCTGTTGGGAAAAGCAAAAAAGAAGAATGTTAAGGGATCACCACTTGCTATATCCAAAATAGAAATTAAACTATAGGGGCATGAAAGAATGGGATGGTTACATTCATCCATTACCATTTTGGTAATAAGATCACTTGCAGTTCAATTAATTTGGTTGCAGCAATCAAGGTAAATGAAACAGAGTTCACAGAAACATATGTGTATATGTGTGTGTATGTGTATACATTTGTACACACCTGTTGGTATATAGATGTATGAGGAGGCAAAAGTTAAAATTTAAGACTGATATTTAAAGGAATTTCAATTTGTAGGATGCATCTCAAAGTAAAAATATGCCACTGAAATTATAAGCTAAAGTAAATTAATGCAGCAATAACAGTAGTGATTTTCAGAACAGTTAAAATGTACAGGGTTGGGTTTTTTTTATTATATGTGGAAATTAATATTAAGCGGGCATTTTTAAGATATGTGGAAATCAGCAGGCATTAAATATATCACTACGGTGGACACTTAGATGACATTAACTTAGAATTAATTTTAGATTAAATAGAAAGTTAAAGCTATAAAACTGAAACCTTAACAGCAGAACCATATCATTGACTGCCCCATGGTCCAGTGAAGGCAAAACCAGACTAAGGTCAATCACATAATTCCATTGTGTTACCAGCATGTGTATTTGCCCCATTCACCCCAGTGCCTGACTGACATTTTAGCCAGAAAGCCCTTCTGAGACCTGCTCAGCTGAGTCGAAGGAGGAGGAGGAAGGATCTACATTTCATCAGAAAAATTTGTCAACGGATCATTAATAACTAAGACATTATTAACTAAGAAGGGGTTTTTGAGGATAATTATCCAACCATGAGAGACCTATACTGATACTCAGGTTTGTCTCTTGTCCTTGGCAACCCCCTCTGCAGCCCTTGGAAACAGGCTACATCCTGAGAAGGACAAGCAGATAGAAATCTTACAAACTGGAAAGAAAAAAGATAAAGCTAGAAATAGACATACTTGTTCAGCCTAGAAAAGAGAAGGCTCTGGGGAGACCTTATCACACCCTTCAAGTACATAAAGGGGGTCTTGAGGAAAGACAGGGAGGCACTCTTGATCAGGGAGTGTTAGTGATAGATGAGGGGTAATGGTTTAAACCTGAGAGAGGGTAGATTTAGATTAGATATTAGGAAGAAATATTTTACGATGAGGGTTTTGAGGTAGTGTCCCAGGTTGCCCAGAGAAGCTGTGGATGCCCCATCCCTGGAGGGGTTCAAGGCCAGGCTGGTTGAGGCTTTGGGCAACCTGGGCTGGTGGGAGGTGTCCCTGCCCATTGCAGGGGGGGTGGAACTTGATGATCTTTAAGGTCCTTTCCAACCTAAACCATTCTATGATCCTATGAAGTACCTGCTAAGTGAACAGTTTTGCACTTTTCACTCGCCTTTTCTGGAGGTGAATCACCATCTGGCAGAGACTGCAAGGGTCCAGGGATCATCCAGCCAGGAGGCATTTGAAGCTTGACTCCAGCACGGTGGTGAGAGAACTGACGGAGTCTCTCTCAGTCTCAAGGAGAATGATTACTACCCAAGAGCTAGAGGCCACGTGTCCTGAGAAAGGTACTTTCTGGCACAAGTGACTGGCTAAACTTTATCACCCTGGAAATTTTCAGTTTTGGATGTGAAAATTTAAGTTAAATGCCAAATGTGTTAAACCTGAAGTCCTAAGAGAGCTTAAGACTTAGTTTTAGACATTTGAGTTCCAGTTTAAGTAGCCATGTTCTAAGAAAAAGCCTCTAAAGAGAAACATATTGATACATATCAAGATCAGTTATATTTGCTCAGCTGTCTCATTACTTGACGTAGTTCATGGCAAAGACTTCCAGAAACACCTGCACGTTAAAGTGCAATAACAAAACTAAAGGCACCCAGACCGGTGACTTGTAACAGATGATCTTAATTAGACATGAACTTCGTGGTCCATGTTTGTTCAAGTGACAGAACTTGACTGTGCTGCTTTCCTTTATAGCTGGGTAGAAAATAACCAAGAGAAAAGTGCATGCTTCTTGATGTAATAGGTATAGGCACACAACAGAAAACTCTCACTGAAAATGAAATAAATACACTAATAAAAGTTCTAAGAATTAACTTACTCAAATTATAACTGCATGTTATTCTCAGTATGAAAACATGAGACATTCCAGATTTAAGTTCTGCAGCATTTTCTTTTTTTAACCCAGTCAATGCTTTCTTTCTATTTTGTTACCTACTCACGCCACATTGTCAGTTACCTTTTGCAGGAATACATTTAAATCGCTTTCTCAGTAATTATTTTTTCTATAAACATGGCTAAACAGACATTTTCCCCCAGTTTTCAGAACTTCTCAGGAGTGAAGTTCTTCTGGTGATTTCTCCAGGCACCACTCTCCATACAGTCACACACAATAACAACACCAGGCTGAAAAAATTTTCAAGTCATACCTCATTTTAGGGAAAATCAGAAAATCGATTGATCTGGGTATCATACAAACCAATCTAATATTCAAAAGTATTTATAAAATATATCATTTAGTTAAAGTATCAATTCAGCTGTCATACACATTTTTCCTTTTTTCTTCTAATCCTCATTTTGTATTTCTAATTTCAATTCCTTTGAGGAAGCAGTTCTAAAAATGACTTTTAATCCAGAATGAGTATTTAAAATAATATCTACAGTCTTATCTGTTCTTAATACAAGTGTCTGAACTGTGCTAAAAATGGCAGTTTATCTCCAAAATTTATGTTAAAAAAATAATCTGTGCCCATTCTTAGAATACTTAAGTTAAAAATGTTTCTGGGATGTCATCAGTTATGTAGAATATAACAAACAAAAGAATAGCATCAAAAAAGGCAAAGAATGGGTTTTAACTTGAAGCCATGATTAAAACAGTAAAAGATAGAAGAGTTAGAAATGGTTCATACTGACCTGAGTCCATAAAGGACTGTCCCATCTGGATGCAAACGGATCATTCTGTTCTTCACAGTGACACCATGTACAAATGACTTCTTGTCATTCAGAAAATAGGTATCGGGAACCCATAGCTGATCAGCTACTCTGTTGTCCAGAGTAAGGTTTAGAGGTATTACATTATACGACAGCCTCTTATCCCTCCACGCTTGCTGAAAGTACATTGTCAAGGTATAGTCCTGTGATTACAAAAACAGAAAAAAGTTTGCATTGAAACAGACAGCACACATATACAAAAAAAAAAAAAAAACCCACACCCAAAACCAAACAAAACAAATACACATTTATTTATTGTGACTGTTCTTAAATGCAAACATTTTTATTCAGAATTTCCATAAGTAGATTTATTTATTTGTACCGTATTGAACATCTTTTGTATGCCTAGTAACAGAAATAAGAATACAGAAAAGAAGGGATATTTACATTTTATTAATGACTTGAGAGTTCCCATTTCAATATTTAAAAATAAAATGTGAAAAAAAAATGCAGACATTTAAGAGTCTGCAATTTCTGTAGCACTTTACAAGCCTGGGAGTTCTGGGAAACAGGAACATTCACAGATCTGAATTTCATTTCATGGTCTCCACCATAACCAATAACAGCTCTAAATCAGGGCTTGTATCTCTGAAGTTGCAGTTACCACCCAATCACTTCTCTAAATTGAAATCTTTTCAAAGTCTGTTAATTTTCCCCTGGGCACTGAAATCAATGGGAAGTCTCTGAGGTTTCTAGCCTACAGAGTCTTAGTCTTCCACTTAATTTTACAGATGAAGTAACTCTGGTTACTTCAATGGAACAATTCAAAGAGCACAATTAAGCATCTGGGTAAATACTTGCAGTACTATGACTATCAGGACTATTTGTCTTGATGCAGGTCACTAACGTACAGTACTCTGGAGATGCTTTGATCTGGTGGTGTTATACAGAACAATATAATTATGAAAATTATATTTTTTGTAACACCTGTTAAACAGAGGCAGAATATTTATTATATATTAGCCTATACTAAAAAAACCTCTAGAAATAATGCACAAAGGAGCTGTATATCTGATCATGGATCACTGGGTCACGGGCTGTAAAACAACACTGAAGGAATACCAAAAGGAGGAATATTCTAAAACCAAGCTTTTGATTTGCTTGTTCTACAGAAGTCATAACCAGGCCTCAAAATATTCTTGATTTAGAATCCATAGTTACCACGGAGTTCACTAAATAGTGAGAACTGTTAGCTTACAAAAGATTGCTTTCAACAGAAAGTCAACAAAAGCTGCTGCGATTGCCAGCAACCCCAGGATTTGGCCCTTTCAGAGGATGAACTCTGTCTACGCATCAGTCTCAGGCACTTGAAAACAAGAGACCTCACCTAACTTAGGACAGATAATTAACTATGGTGACAGATTTCTAGCACTGCATAACAGAGAAAAGCATGCACGATATGAACTTTTTTTTTGCATATATTACAATACTAATTCTCAGCAGGTACTTTAGATTTTAAAGCAGAGACCCCTATTGAAAATGGTTTTATTAAAGTTGGCAAAAAGTCATTACTCTTCTTGCTGAAATACTTTACAGGCACCTGCTATATTTTACAAACATTTTTGTTTTAAAAAAAATACATTTGACAGATGAACACTATGCAGAACTTCTCACAAAATACAAAAAAATAAAATTTTCTTGTTTTGCAGTTTCACAGACTAAACTTCAAACAAACCTACAAAAATATCCATGTCACTGAAAGTTATTTAAAAAAAAAAAAAAAGTTTTGCATTTCTAGAAATTATCTTTTCACAGGATAGCCAAGGGTTTGATAAACACTAAATCCCACAAAAGGTACATGGAAAAGTTACCTTCCTGGGTGAATGGGGGACACTGCATTTCTTCCACTGCTATGGAGAGAGGTGGCATTCATCCTACTTAACTTCAAGCCCTGGAGACACATGTTTCTCCACTAATTTTAGAGGATCTAGGGCAATTAGTCCTAATCTATGCACCTTGGTGAAGCACCTCCAGTTAAGTGAATTCAAGCCAGTGCCAATGGCAAATCGAAAAGAAAAGAAAATCAGACATAACTTCTATTAACAATGACTGCGCATCCAGAAAACTATTTTTCCTTTCTTTATTAATGAAACTTTTTATGCATAAATTAGGTTGCTGAAATTATTCACTTTAAAATGTACACAGTGCACCCTTAAAATCATGCGTCAGGGAGGGGCTGCGACAGCCACGGCTATTCCAGACGACTTTGAGCAACGACACAGCACCTAGAAAGTAATTGACCCTGCCTCTTCTGCAGAACAGTGCGTGCTGATGAATCAGCATCAACTGTTTTTTTTACAGAGATATGTATTTCCATGGTGGAAATCCTCCTATTTTTTAAGCATCTTTCCCCAGAAGAGCCCAGACACCAGAGTTTCAGAACGTCTCTTGAGTTTTCACTGAAGCGGGGAGAAATACATGTTTCTGTTGAGAATAGTTATGGCATCTCTTCCTTGTCAACACAAAACCAGAACTTTAATGCTGTCCCCTCAGCCTTCTTTCTATTTGTGACGGTTAAAGGTTCATCATCTTCACCTGCCATGCCTTCAAGCCCTACGCTGCAGCCACCCAGCCTGTACACAGACCCGTGCTCAGCTTTGGGAGGGTGTCACAAACCAAACTGCACGGTTACAAGTAGGTAAACACCAAACAAGTTTTTCCCATTATTTTATTACTAAATATATTTACCTGGTAACTATTCTAATCTGATTAGTTCTAACAATCTGCAATCTCTTCCCCTCCATACCCTCCCGGGAACAGGATGAAGTCTGCTTTCAAGAACATTCCACCTACATCCAAAGAATTTTACTGTCATGCTTCATGACTGTTCTGCAGTATTTGATTTATAACCAGGCACCAGAAAACGTTCAGTAATATACTGCCAGTAAGAAAATGGATTAGTGTTCATTATACTAATATATCACAACATAAAACAGATGAGCTGGAGCAACTGCTCCCCTATTATCCTTAGAATGTTGCATTTTATTCCTATTTTAAGGAATAATCTACGTATATTAATATATAGCATATATATAGAACATGCTTCCCTCTTTACACCTCAGTAAAAGAGGAAAAAAAGAGGAGGAAGAAAACTAAACATGCATGGTTCAGTGCATAAAAATGAATTACATAAACCTGTAAATTTGGAGCACTGGTATAGCTGAAAGAAAAGCCAAGTCACGAGGCTGGAGCTCAGAATCAAACACACTGTGTTCCAGAAACAGAGCTGGTGTTCCAACTGAAAACTATTTGTCATCTGTGGGCCCTGGTTTTCAGATGTGACCAGAGTTTCTGATGGTCAAAACAGGACACCTTAAATAATCTTTGTAAAATCCTCACTACCTTTCCGATTTAGGTGGGTTTTTAAAAAATTATTAAAAATATGTTCCAAGCTACATATTTCAAAGTGATTAGTTGGGGGGGGGGAAAGGAAAACCTTAGCATCCTATTAAATTCACAGGATGGGATTGTTAGAAGCTTAGTGTAAGCGTGAAGAAGAAACAGGAGTTAATTCATCTTGAAAGCCTAGCACAAGGCAGTAATTCCAATGAGTTGAAAGAAATATGAAACTAACCCTCATGGTGACCATGTCTGTGTATACCATTACACAAACTACAAAGGTACGGACTATTTACAATAGAGACATAGGGATAAATAAACAGCTTCACCAGTTACCCTGAACACCCGAAGCTTGAAATGCTGTATAAAATTTTATTAGTACAGACAGTTACAAGCCCAACCTAGAATACAAATAGGCAAATACTGTATTTTCTGTAAATACACAAATATTATCATTTGTATAGCTTTCATGATTATCGCATTGTCCACATACATTTAAATTTAATAAACTTTTTTATTCTGTCCAGATGCAGAAATTTAGGCAACAGAAAATGGATAATTACTCCTATTCATCCTGACCAAAGAAAAGATCTCTCCTCTTTTCCTCACCAGTTAAAGTTCAGCTTCTTGGTTTTCTCCTTCATTTCACACAATGAACAGAAGGCAGCAAATATGAGACAAAGTAAATCTTAATGCAAATTTTCTGATATGAATAAAAAAGTAGCAAACAGTTTTATTAGTATTAGCATATGTATGAGTAACTTTCATCCTGAACGTTATCTTTGTGTGGTGGTTGTCCGCAAACACTTTTAGCTGCTGAAAACCTATATATGCTGAGAGATTTAAACTTAAATTTGGATAAAAAGAATTGTTACAGACAGCCCAGTTGTCAGTTAGTGACCATCAACTTCCAAGATGTAAGGGAAGACGCTGAGCAGGAAAGCATCAAATATGAAAACTGGCATTCTTATTTATATTCTCTTATTTCATTAATACTCTCAAATAAAAGGATAAAGGCAAAAAAGGAAATAAATTTCATGAACGTTCACAATGACGGTGGGAGTCTAATGCAAAAGTGTGCCAGATGTCAAGTTTTTCAAAGCATGAGGATGAGGTCCAATGTGAGAAAAGCAACATTTAAAATACAGCTCTTCTACACAACACAGAACAGGACTGATTCTCAGTGCAGCTTAAAGATTTATACCAACACTTGTATTAACAGGGATATAACCCAGCTACTGAAACATTTTGGAAATAATAAAATTAGGAAACTATGGAGGAGAAAAAAATAAGTAGAAGGAACATTCTGTATATTATAAACACAACATGGAGCAGCATGGAGTTAAAGAAGCTATTTGTCTCTACTCATCAGAAATGAACAGAGAACTCATTTGTGGTTTCCTTAAGTCCACTTCTCATAATTTTCCTTGTAATTCCTAACTTGTAAAAGCACTTTACTACATTTCCCAGTATGGCATTTTTAAAGCTAAATCATTTCCTTCTGAAAACGCTTGGAGCTGAAGATTCTGCCCTGCATGCTGTATTTATTTACCACGCACACTTAAAAAGCTGTCTGTTGGTACCGTATTTTAAAGTGCCATTGAGTAAATTATTAAAAGTATTCATCTACACCACAAAATGTATTTGAATATATTAAAAGCTATTATATACTTAAGAAGAAAGGAGCAAATGTTAATTCTACTCCTTCCTCAGACTCCAATGAAGTTATCACTGATGTGTAGAGTTTCTACAGCGGGAAGCACACGTTTCACTACTCAAATGGTCTATAAAACAATCCAAAACA